CGACTCATCGGCAGACCAAAAGGGCGGGTGAGGTCAAACTGCAAGAAACAAAAATGAAGCAAGAGTTTACAAGTTTAGCAGTTTAAAAGTTAACAGCGTATTTTTTTCTCTTTATCACCTCAGTAAAGTACGCCACTGGGGTGACGCTGACGACGAGGAGGAAGGTGACTACAGCTGCGCCAATCATCAGCTGATGGACTAGGGTTTCGCCGCCGCCAAAAGGTCGCACCTTCAGGCAGATGGCGTACGTAGAGGCGTACAGCAGTGAGAGAGGTGTGGTCATGGTGCGCAACATGTACGCAGTCTTTTGACTTTCCAGTGAGTTCATTTCGGTGAACAGAGCGTGAAGTTCCTGCCGAAGATGGGCGGTGTTGGGAGCAGTTTCTGGTGGATCAACTCTTTCTCCTTCTTCTTCACGAGTTGGCGGGGAAGGTGGCATTTTAGTTATTTAATGTAAATATGAAAAAACAGTTTGTGAAAAATAGTACTAATGAAACTCTCTGAATCAGTTTACAAAGTTAGAACTTTGGCAGAGTTTACTAGTTACAATTTTGAGCAAACGATGGGCATCTTTTGTGGCGCCGAGTCTTAAAGCATTACTTCTACGCCGTCCTCTACAGGATCTTTTTGGACCTCTCCTCTTCAGTGACATTCTCTTTTATCATCAGCACTTTCACTTTCACCTTCTCCTCCCTCACATCTTCAATGGCCTCAGCGCCAGCACCTCTGAGCGCACAACGGACGGCAATGCCGAGAATGAGCCCCGCCCAGTAAGCGTTCATGAGGGCAATCAGCTGAAGGAGGGCGTAGAGAATGAATCCTCCTGGAGGCCACTCGCTGACTTTTAGTGCCATCAGCCGACGTCCACAACTGCCGATGACCAGCACGGGAAAGGCGTACAGCCGAGCGGCAAACCAAGTGGCGGTGAAGGCGCCGAAAACGACCATTCGAAGCAGCTTGATGACCGTAGAAGGACGGCAGTATCCCCTTTCTTCTTCTGCTGTTGTTGCATTTTCCTGCAGCTGATTGAGCACCTTGGTCAGTTGGAGCAGTATGTCGCAGAGGTCGTGCAGATAGAGGACGGCCACGCCGATGTGCAGCAGACTGGAGGACTGGAAACTGAGGACCAGGAGGACCAGGGCGACCAGGTGGTGAAGGGTGAGCAGGGCGGAGTACCACCGGTTGAAGGTCTTGAAGAGGAGGACCACCACCAGGGAGGAGAGGTAGTGGGCGCATTCGTACGCGTACAAAAGGGTCACTAGCGAGGAAGCTGCAAAAGAGGTGTCTGTGATAAACAAACAAAAAAGTGGTAAATATAAAAACAAAAATTCTTAAAGCTTCTCCTATCTTACCATGAGCCCAGAAAGCGTCCAGATTGCCACTCATCAGACCGTTTCGATGCACGAGAGCGGCGGCCAGTGAGAAGCTGCCGGAGTAGGAAAGCAGGCTGTAAAGTGCTTCGCCGAGGCGCTCCCGACCGCCCTCCTTGATGCTCCACAAAGAAGTCCACTTGAAAAGTGTGAAGAAAGAGCAAGTTCTTTCGCGACGACGGCAGCAAAAGAAACCGAGAAAGAACTGCCGAATGGCGGTGAGCAGTGCGGCGAAGGCAAAGGTGGCAAGAGCGAGGCTCAGGCTGAGACGACCGGCCGGACTTTGCTGCTCTTGTTGAGCAACATGGAAGTTTTCTTCACCACTACCACTACTGTTGGACTGCAGATACTTGCGTCCGACTGCCAGTGAGAGAGCGACTACATCGAGGTACTGCGAGAAAAGTTGTTGTGCTTTCATGTTTAGTGATTACCACACAGTGCAAGAGGGATTTCACTAAAAATGGTCTTTTGTTTGATACTGCNCATGTTTAGTGATTACCACACAGTGCAAGAGGGATTTCACTAAAAATGGTTTTTTGTTTGATACTGCTAGAATGATAGATTAAATGTTGTGACTTTTTAATAGGAATTTTATAATAGCAACAATGCTCAAGAAAATCGAATTGCCGTTGCAGTGGATTATTTTCCACATATTTGTAATTCATTTTACAGCAAAAAAACATGGAAATTATCAAAATGTTCAAATCCGAGCGTTTGTTGATTCAAAAAAAGTTGTAGTCTCGGCGAAAAAGAGAGGACGCTACTTATCAATGTTGACAGTGCCGCTGAAGGCGTTTGACAGACAAATGTTTTGAGTTTTTATTTATTTTTCTAAAAGTACTTTTGAGCTTCTTTAACTGTGATACAGCAAATATACAACAAAATGATTCGATCAAAACGCAACACGAGTCGAAGTACAAAATTTCAAAAAAGGGCTCAGAGCAAGTTGAGCAATCTAGCGACTAAGTTAAATCCAAACGATCCAAATTGGATCGACCGATACGTGGAGATAAGCACACATTTAGCATTCGGTGACTATGATCCAAATTGGTTCGACGACGTTCATTTTGACATTTTGCGCGATCTTTGCAATGAAAATCTTCAATCAAACTACGTGGTGCACTTGCTGACGCTGCTGGAGTTAATGGTGCCTTTTCTCGATTCCGAAGACAAGTAAGTTTGTGATAAACATTCTGATTTGTATTGAGTATTTTCTGATTTTCTGAACAGAATTGAACAAACCATCGGATCACTGCTAAACATTATCACGGGTCAATCGGGGAAAAGAACTGCACTGGTTATGAACAAATACATCTACTCGGCAACTTCACTTGTTCTCTACACCCAAGAGTGGAAATACAAGAGCAGTTCAATTGACGATTTGTACAATGTTTTTATCAAGTTTTTGTTAGAGAAATCTCGAAACAGCAAATCGTCACTAAATGAGGCTTGCTTTAATGCTCTTGTGGCGATTTCCACCAATTCTCCTGTAAGTTTTTATCAATACAATAACAACTTAAACTAAAATTTTCTACTTTAAGGAACTGTTGGAATCAGCCAATTGGCATTTTTTGTCTGCAAAAAATCTGTCAGAGTCACTTTGCCTGATGGCTCTCTATAACTCTAAACAAAACAGCGCGGGTCTTCGTGAATTGACACAGAACATTCGGTTTTCACCCGACCTGAAGTTTCATCATTTTTCATCGTTTTTATTCACCCTTGTCAGCTCTTCTCACTACAATGACTCTCTATCACTGTTGCTGTTAAAGCCCTTTTTACATCGATACATTTCGGGCAACTCAATTCATGATGTTCACCTGGCGCTGAAACTCTTGATCAAGTTTGGATTTGAGATTTTTTCCTCATTGGAAGAGGAGTTTTTCATGAAACAGATTGTCAGTCTATCAACAATGCCCTCCTTGCCCATTGGATACCGACTCTTGTGCCTGTCATTCATCAAAATAGCTTTTGTGTCCATCTACAAACCGCCCTTAAACTCACCCCCTCTCGGACTAATCGACACACTGTGCCCCTACCTCTTTGACGGTCCCGATACGCAGGAGAAGAAGATGGTCATTTTAAATGAGTTCTCCTTTGTCATCAGCGACAATGAATTTTTCAATTTAATTTCTCGACTGCACCGCCTTGGCGACGTTCACTGTGCCAACTATAAGCGCGCAACCAGCTCACTTTTCCGCGTTTTAAACATTGCCCTCAAGAAGCGGCCCCCACTGACCGAGCGAATACTGAACTTTTTACTAGAGAGCATCTTTTCACCCTCCTACACTCACTACATTGAAAAGTTGTTCGTCTTTCTGGAGCAGCACTGGGATTTCGCTCAGCTGATGGTGGACAAGTTCATCGCCCAGCTGGTGATACTCCTCAAAGACCAAGATAACAACAATGAAGGTTACCAGCAGGTGATGAGCATTTCGCAGTGTCCCTTTATTCGCACTAGCAACCAGTACCTCGCCTTTCTTCAGCTGATCAACTGGTTTCTCTCCATTGCCCATCACCACATTGTCCTCACCGAGTTTCAGCTGGAGTTTATAGTCAACTTTATTCGTATCAACTGTCTGCAGTGGCCGCAGTCGTCTACCGCGGCGCTCACTTGCTGTACATCGATTCTCTACTACCAAAGGGTGACGTTCAAAGTGAAGGAAGCACTGCTCATCATTCTCGAGTGGCTCAAGAGTGAACGAAAAGTGGACATTGAGACGTCCAGCTTAGCGCAAATCTATCTGCTGGCGCTTCGCACTCTTAAAGAGGAGTACATCAAACAGGTGTTTACTTCGGACGAAGAGGAGTTTCTCATTCAAAAGGTTCCGGAAAGCTTTGACGACTACCTCTGCACTATTGTGCGCAATGAACGTAATCAGTGTCCACTGATCGTAGAGAGGCTTAAAGATGAGGCGCCTAAAGAGAGACTCAAGTTGGGCAGTTCTCTTTGGCTGTCTATTCCCTTTCAGGTCTACCTGTCTGCAGCTAGTTCCCTTGACCGTCTGTTCTGTGTCGACATTCTCTTTACTTCGCCGCAAATTGCCAACTTGAAGCAAACATTTCAAATGCCCCTTTTCGAAAAGGGCCAAGAAAGAGCTCGACTCGGCCTAAACGTAGACTTTAAAGTTAACGGCCCTTTCTGGCTGGACATTACCATTCGTTTTGTGGACTATCAGGGCATCATCTACAACTATGAGCAGCCAGAGTGCGAGTACATTTCCCTGGAAGATGTCTTTATTCCCATTGACGTCTCTCCGGACCAGTGCACTGAGTCTCTGGTTCAAGCAATAATGCAGCATCCTGATTCACTGCAAACAGTCATTGTTGTTCGGAACCACCACAGTTTTGAGTCCTTTTTCAAGCATTACCAATGGGTCAAGCAGTTTGTGGTTGACTCGATGGTGGACGCCGGTAAACAAAAAGAGCACTGCAACTTGGCGATTGGTCTTTCCCCTGATGTGGTAATTTTGTGTTCAGTTAGACTCGTCAATGGAAATGTCAACCTCTTTGTAACGACGAACAATTACGAAATTATTCCATCGTTTTTGCTCAGCACATTTGCCAATTCTGATTCTTGACTTAATTAAAAATGACAATTTTTTTAAAAACTTGGTTACCTTGTTTGGTAATTTATTCATCCTTTAACTTAAGGACGTACATTTTTACTGGGAACAATCCTTTTGGCATCTTCTTTTGCTTTACGACGCACTTGACTTGAAGTTGGCCAACTTGAGCAAAAATGGTTCTCAAAGCTTCGTCAGAACGCGCAACTGAACCATCTTCTTCGTCGACGACGCATTCATCTGTCCTGGTAACATTGTCCTTTATCACAATAAAACCATTGGGTTTGGTGAGAATTTGCGCACATTTTTCTAAAAAGATGACAAAATCAGCATCGTTGATGTAGCCGATGCACCACTGAAGCCATATACAGCTGTATTTTACATCTGGTAGAGGCTGAAAGTCTTGCATCCCCTGAGCAAAAAGATGCTTTACTTTTGAGTATTTCTCGCCCATAAAATTTTTTGATTGTTGTAGGAAAAGCTCATTCTGTTCCAAGAGATCAATTTCATCAAAGAAGTGAGACAAGACGTATTTTGAAACGCGCCCGATACCTAGAATTAAAAAATGTAGTGATAAATTAGTTGATACGTTTCCTTTAAACTTACCAGCACCGCAATCCAGTACCCGCGATGGTGTATCAAATGTAGCTTGCCCAAGAATCTTTTTGAGAAGTCCGAGGGACTCATCAGCATCAACGGTGTTTACATTGGTAAATCCGCCCAACATGCCCGAGCAGCTCGCTTCCACTTGCCTCCAGTAAAATTTGCTTTTGGAGTAAAAATTCTCATTTTCAGTAGGCACACCTTTATCAGCCGACATTCTTGCTGAAGTTCAGCAGCTGAACAAAAATTCCTCTTGTGAGAAACAAGGTGGCTGTGTTTACCAAAACAAAGTGGCACGTGTTTGATACCTGCAACGACTTATACGAATGCACTCAATTTATTTAAAAATTCTATAAAAATGGAACAACATGTAATCACGCAATTCTTTCCATTGTAATTAAAATTCGAGAAAACTTGGTGGTCAAAGTTTGTTTCGAAAAGGATATAAATTTTAAATTAGGATGAGAAAACTTTTCCATTAATTCGTTCGCCAGCTCTTTGTTTGGTAGTTCTTGGAAAAAGTGAATTTCTGGCCACAGTTTCTCTTTTAAATCGGGTATTTCCTCTTCATTGGCACTCGTATAGGGAGCCCAAAAGGCAAGTCGGCCATTGATTTTTAAATGCTTGGCGGCAAAAACTAACAGATCACTGTAAAGATCCCCAAGTTTGTACTCGAGTTTAGATGGAATGTGGTACGGCACGAGATCTTCTGAGATGGTGTATTTTTTTGCAGATCCTATTCGCTCTCGTGATTCCCGTTTTCCGTAAGGCAAGTCAGATAAAATTGCGTCAAACATGAAGCCATTCCTAAGAAGCGGCAGAGAAGAGTCGGCTGCAATGACATCCAAGTACTTGGACTCTAGTCCATGCTGCTTTAGATTGGCCAACACTGACTCGTCAGTGTCGCGCTGTTTGACGCCACACCTGGAGGGCTTTACCATTCCATGCAGTAGCTTGTAGTCAATGTCTGAGCCTGCAAATTAAAGAAACTGAATAGAAAGAAGAGAAATTGAAAAAGAGTGGTCTACTCACCGCAAATGTAAGCTCCGTAAAATGCGGCAGCAAGTAAGATGCTTCCGGATCCGCAAAAACCATCGTACACAATGTCGCCTGGTCCGACTTGAGCAATATTGCTCATAAGGAATGACAAGGTAGGCTCCATTGAGGTGTTGGCGATAAACTTGCGCGTTTTTAGAGAGAATCTCGTAAGATCCTTTCGGCTACTACTATCAGCTATCCATCGGCCAAAGGTGATTTGATGCGGATTCTCAGGAGGACTGGCTTGAGTGTGCCCGAAGTACTCAAAGTAGTGAAACGTTACTTGAGGGTCCTTCAAGATGATGGGCCCTTCAAAGGGGAGAAAGTCGAGCTTTTCAATTCTGTCCACCTTTTCTGCTAGTGAGATCTTCTTGCCAAACGTTTCGACCAAAATGCGAAATGATGCAAGGTGAAAAAAGGGCTCTTGTGTTTGAGGTGCTGAAGCCAGTGCCTTGTAAAACTGCTCATGTTTAGTTTCATTGACCCAAAGCTCGTAAAGTGAAATGCTCAAAATTGAGCGATCCAAAACCCTTTTCAAACACGCTTCATCGCTGGTCTCTAAAATGAAAAAAGGCTAAAACAGAGTTGTTAAAACAGAGAATCGCAGAACGAATGTGTGGCTGTACCTTGTCAGATGGAGGCTCCACAAAGGTGTATTTGAGCTGAAAGTAGGAAGTCAGCGACTGAAACTCCTTGAAATGGAAATGATTTTAAACTCTGAGCAACCCTGGCATGAGGACAACTTACCGAAACTCGAAAGTTCGCATAATCGTGCGTGAAGCGAATCATATACCGCTTGTTCATTTTTTGGATTTTGTATTTATCAAAAGTGTTGATTCAAAACGCCGGACAACAAACACAGTGCACGTGAGTTGAATTACTCCCGAAAAGTTTCCCAAACTGTTGTACCTCAACCAAAATTAATCAAAACTTTCCAACCCTTGATTTTATTGGACTTTGCTACACCGTCGCTAAAACCCTAGTAGCCTCAACTCTATGATATCTTGCCGTAAAATGGTTTTTAAAATTATAAAAAAGCAGCTGCCAGTATGGCACCGAATGTTGCCTAGCAATCAACACCGTCACGGCGGCTGGAGGCAGGTGCAGCCAAGCACAGCGAAAGCGAAAAAGATTGATCCTGACCAGAGATGTGACAGGTGAATAAAGGGCTCAGATGTGGAAGCCACCTGACCAGAAAGTCTCCTGGAAACACCAGACAGGTGAATGAATCAGTACTGTTTAAAGGGGAGAGAGTGGATTGTGAGAGAGTGGAAAGCAACACAGTGAGATAGTGCCTGGATAGTGCGCGCGCGCCAGTTCGAGCTAGTCGACTATAGTGAAAGAGGGGAGCAGACGAGGCGAGGTTGGGCGCCAAGTCGCAGATACTCGGCACGGCACTGTGTTGTCACTTCGTCGGTGTCTCGCACTTGCCTTTAATGCTCATTTTGCACTGGCAGACTGCTACTGCTGTCGTCTTGCCCTCAATACCGTCGCACTATCACCACCAGCGACCGGGATGTCAACTCGACACTACTGACAAATATTATTGTTGGTAATTGCCACATTCACCACTTATCACACTACTGTGGGCGCATTTTCAATTGCTGATTTCTCTTTTCCACTGCCGCTTTATCTCACCGAGTGCTCCACTTTGGTCAATCGACGACGTCCCCCCAGTGTTCAAGTGTCCTTCGAGCCCTTCTTCTTTCACTCTTTCTCTTTCCCCCGACTTGGAAGCACTTGCACTTCTTTTGTCAATGTCGGCAGGAGAGGCAAATGTCTGCACAAGTTGCCGTCGTTCCCGCCACCAATGTCCGAGCAGGCTTGAAGCCCGTCTCTTCTTCTCGTCCATCCTCTTCGAATTCGAAAGTGGCGGCCAAGCTGAGTCGCCTGCGACAAGCTCCCCCCAAACCGGAAATTGAAGTGGACAAGGCGGAATTGAAAAAGAGTGGCCTACTCACACCGATTCAGTATAAAGTAACTCAAGAGAAATTTACTGAAAGGTATGAGCGTCTCATCTTGCATTATCTTGCTTGGAAAAAATGCTAGACAACTCATCTAATTTTGCCCACTTTTCACAGAGCTTTTTCAGGTGAATACGTCAAACTCAACGATGACGGAAAATACTGCTGCATTGTCTGTGGAGTGGAGATCTTCTCCAGTGATACCAAGTTTGATAGTGGCTGTGGGTGGCCGTCCTTTTCCGACGTGATTGATAGCAAGAAAGTCATTACACAAGCCGACCTTTCGCATGGTAAGTCTCTCTTTTTGTGTCACATGTTTTTCCAGAAGAAGGGCTCTGTAAAAAAATTGAAAAAACATGTTGCCAGAAAAGAAAGTGAAGGCCTTTGCTGTCCGTGAAATTGAACAAGCACGCAGAATTTGCCTGCACACCAAAGATTTATTAATAGCCCGTCTGGTAGAAAGACACTCCAGTGTGCTTCTAAGAGTGGAGAGTACAAAGACAACAACACAGGCATGCAACACTCAATACAGTAACCTTGAAAGCACTTCCACGCACAGAGTAGGCACACTGCAATCGACAACTCGAATTGGATGCGGCCGCAACTCAGCAGCTGCAAACTGCTACCATCGTGCACTGTGCATCTGGCGCGCCACCAAGCCGGTGCCCAAATGAGCCAGTCCCGGCACCAAACTGGTGGGGTGAACGACGTCGCCCAGTTGACAGTGCGCTACTTGACAACAACAAAAGTGTTCAGTTGTAATTTCAAAACGAGCCAAGTCATTGTTCTTAGAGTGCCGAGTACATGTCAACACAAACGTAAAGCAGATTTACTCAGCACACACATTTTTGTTTTCTCTCCTTTTCAGTTGGTGGAAACCTGCTGCTACTCGCCCTCAACCAGGATCTTGCCCGCATTGAGGTGTCCTGTGCCCGCTGTGGAGCTCATATGGGCCATGTGTTCGAGGATGGGCCCAAACCGACCGGAAAGAGATACTGCGTCAACTCGGCGTCCCTTCGATTTAAAAAGCAAGACCAACCAACACTCTGTGATTCAGAGCAGACTGACACTGATCTCACGCCAGCCTGTGCGTTACAGAGTGCATCAGCAAGTGGCACCATCAAGTTGAGTGAACCAAGAAAGCCAGCAGTGCCAGCAGTGCCAGCAGTGGTTACCACCCAATTGACCAGCATTCCCCAGGAGTGCAAGTCATCCGCTGCCCCCGTACCCTCACCTGCTGATCAGGGAACTGCCAAACCAGGAGCCATTCTTTCTGCTCAGACTCCGTCCATTGCAGAGAAAAAGAAGCAGGTAAGCAGTGGCGAAGCAGTCAAACCGAGCAGCAGTACATGGCGTGTGGAATGGCGACGACCAGGCAGGCTCTTTTCCGGCAGTTCATCGAAGGGCGCTCAGCAGAAGGCAGTGCCTGTCAACCCTGCCGAGGCAGTGTCGGGAGCGAGTGACGCCAACAACAATCGAATTGCGCCCAAGTACGAGTCAGTCAAGTCACGCTACCTGAATCACCTCGACTCTGTCAGCAAACAGGAAGTCGAAAAACACACTGCAAAGAAGCCCGACAATCGACCCTTGCTGGAGACTCACCTCTAGCGCGCCTCAGCTTCAGCATCACTGTGATGATCTTTGCATTTAACTCGAACGCTTCTCTCTCTTTTTCTAAATTCTGCACTCAACTAGTCGCTCTTTATTGGTGTTTGCTAAATTGTCTCATCAGGGGCACCACTAAAAGGGTAGCTATCACTGATCGTAAACTGATTTCGAAGTATACTAAGTCACCAAATCACTTTTGGATCACTGACTCCTCAACTTTTGCGCCTGTAAACAATTTCCAAACTACCAATAAATCTTGTTATTGTTATTGCTTTATATTTTCGGTATTTCTATACATTTTTTGCTCTCATTCTCAGTGATCTCCGTGGGTTGATCACGCGAAGCTGACGCGCTTTTAATTTTGATTTTTAAGTGTTTTTTCTTGAAGGCGGCGCCATCTGCTAGAAGACAGGTGAAGCCAGCCAGCAAGCCCCTCCTCTGAAAATCTCGCTCGCGTTGTGCTTTTCTCACTTCATATGACGTGTCTCCATCAGCAGTTGTTGATGCCACTCGCCCCACCAAAGGCCATCACTCTCTGACCACCGGACCGAATTAGACCCGATTAAGATCGCCTTCTAGGATGGCCACTACCGACTCGATCTGCTACACCCTCATCAACGTCGAATCGGACGACTCCGTCAACGAGGTGACCATCCGCAATGATATCGGTAAGTGTTGACTTCACCTCACCCGGCGTTTCACTTTTGTTGCCGGTTTCTTAATTCTTTTTACTCTTGCAGAGAAAGGCGACACCAAGGCCAAGGCATCGGCCCTAAAGAAGCTCATCTACATGATTCTTAATGGAGAAAAGTTTCCGCCGAACATGCTCATGTTTGTCATTCGGTATCTGCTGCCTTCAAATGATCATCAAATCAAAAAATTGTTGCTTATCTTTTGGGAAATTGTGCCTAAGCGAGGACCCGATGGCAAACTCCTTCATGAGATGATTTTGGTGTGTGATGCCTACCGCAAAGATTTGCAGCACCCAAATGAATTTATTCGTGGATCAACGCTGAGATTTTTGTGCAAACTCAAAGAACCCGAGCTGTTGGAGCCACTTTTACCCACCATTCGAACCTGTCTTGAGCACCGGCACTCGTATGTGCGTCGCAACGCCGTCTTGGCCATATTTAAAATTTACGTCAACTTTGAATTCCTAATTCCGGACGCCCCTGAACTTGTGCTCGACTTTCTCAGTCGTGAATCTGACGCCAGCTGCAAGCGAAATGCCTTTCTCATGTTGATTCATCTCGATCAGAAAAAAGCTTTGGATTACCTCAATTCCTGTCTTGAGCAAATTGGTAGCTTCAACGAAATTCTCCAGCTTGTGATTGTTGAGCTAATATACAAAGTCTGCATTTCCAACCCAAGCGAGCGATCCAAATTTATTCGTGCAATCTACAATCTACTGAGCACTTCATCCTCTGCATCAGTGCGATACGAAGCTGCTGCAACCCTGATTACGCTTTCTCAGGCACCGACTGCATTGAAAGCTGCCGCCAACTGCTTCATTGACATTTGCGTGAAGGAAAGTGACAACAACGTGAAGCTAATTGTTCTGGACCGCTTAGTTTCTCTCAAAGACTCTGCTTCTGGAGCTGAGCGTGTCCTTCAAGAGTCCCTCATGGACATTCTGCGCATCTTGAATGTTGCCACAGACCTCGAAGTCAAACAAAAAGTTTTGAACCTTTCGCTTGATTTGATCAACTCGCGCAATGTGGAAGAGTTGATTCAGCTGCTAAAAAAGGAAATTTTCAAAACGCAAAACGAGTCGCACGGAACAGCAGATGAGAACAGCAAGTACTGTCAGATGCTGGTGCGAACTATTCACTCGGTTTGCATGAAGTACCCCGAAGTGGTCAACTCTACCAACATTTTAACCACCCTCTTTGAACTGCTCGTCAACAAAAACGACGAAACCACCGCTATACTGGTCATTGTTTTCTGCCGCCAGTTTATCTCCACCAATGCACAGAGCAAGAGCTTCATCATCAACAAGCTGCTGGAGATTTTTCCCTCCATCAGAAACGTCAAAGTGCACCGTGGCTTGATTTGGATTTTGGGCGAGTTTGGTGACGAGAGTGTGACGCAAATTCAGGAAATTTTAAACTTGATCAAGCTGTCACTGGGCGACATTCCCATTGTGGAGAGTGAACTGCAAAAGCTGGAGGAAGGCGGCGAAGAGACTGGAGGCGACAAGGCGCCCAGTGCCGCTGCCGCCTCCACTGCGACTGGCTCCTCCAAGCTGGTCACTGCCGACGGCTCCTACGCCACCCAGTCTGCCCTTAGCGTTTCCAGCAAGGTAGCTGTCAATGATTCATCAGTGCCCCCTCTTCGTCACCATCTCCTCAACAAGAGCGAGTTTTTTATTGGCACCGCGTTGGCCAACTGTCTGGTCAAGCTGGCGCTGCGTTACAAGCATCTAGCGCACGACGCCGCTTCGGCCAACACTTTTCTGGCCGAAAGTATGCTCATTTTGACGTCCATCTTGCACTTGGGCAAATCAAAGCTGGTCTCGCAGGTGATCAACGAAGACGACTATGAGCGCATCTCCCTCGCTCTGGTCATTTTGATAAACATCAACTCTGAAAAGGCCATCACTCCAGAGATTGAACAGCTGATGAATGGCATTTTCCTGCGCGAAACTCGCCTTTCACTTGGAAGCATGCTGGAGAACTCAAAGGAAATCGAAGTAAAGAGCGATTCGGTTCTCTCTAAAACTAAGAACAAGAAGATTGAGAGTGACGACCACATCACCTTTTCGCAGTTGATCAACAAGGCTGCTGAGCAAATAGAAAACCAATTTGACGTTAGTCTCACGCAAGCAATCGCAGGCCCGACTGCCACTTCCACTGCCGGTAAAGGTGCCAATGTGACAGACCTCATTTCAGCCAGTAAGCTGAGCAAGGTGACCCAGCTGACGGGTTTCAGTGACCCCGTCTACTCGGAGTGCTACGTCAACGTGAACCAGTATGACATTGGCTTGGACGTTCTCATTGTCAACCAGACTGCGGACACCTTGCAAAACTGCACCCTCGAGCTGTCCACCATTGGCGACCTAAAGTTGGTGGAGAAGCCGCAGCCAATTGTGCTTGCCCCACACGACTTTGCCAATGTGAAGGCCTCCATCAAAGTAACATCCACTGAAAATGTGGTCATCTTTGGCAACATAGGTAAGCTTTATTTGAATCAACTTTCGCTGCAGAAGCAAAACGTGTTTTCCATTTCATTTTCTCATTAATAATGCATTTCCCTTCATTCTCCCTTCATCTCTAGTGTACGATATATCTGGTTCCACTTCTGATCGCAACGTTGTAGTATTAAACGACATCTACATTGACATAATGGATTACATCATTCCCGCTGCCTGCAGTGATGCCCAATTTCGGCAAATGTGGGCCGAGTTTGAATGGGAAAACAAAGTTACCGTTAATACCAGCATCAGCGACTTGATGGAGTACCTGGGTCACCTCATCAAGTCCACCAACATGAAGTGCCTTACGCCGCAGAAATCACTCTCCGGCAACTGCGGCTTCCTGGCTGCCAACCTCTACGCAAAGTCGATCTTTGGCGAGGATGCCCTTGCAAACGTGAGCATTGAGAAGACCTCTAGCGATGCACCGGTCACCGGACACATTCGAATTCGGGCCAAGTCGCAGGGAATGGCTCTCAGTTTGGGGGATAAGATCAATACCTCGCAGAAAACAGCTAAAGCGGCGTAGTTTGAGATACAGAAAAAGAATGTTTAGTAACTTTTCGTTTTATATTCTTATCGGATTGCTATAATTATTATTTTATATACTATTTGCCACTTATAAAAAAAGAGTTTTATTCTACACTTGTACGAGCTCAACTAGCGTCATTGAGTAAGAGAGATTTTCCATTTGGGTGAATGACTCTCTCCTCCCTTTCCGAAATGGGCCGAATCACTGAAAAAATGCACAATTTACGTCTCTTCGCATCGCACCCAACATACCGAACACCCATGACAGCAGTGTCAGGAGCAGTTAGTGGCCATTGCACTGGCAATTTTCTATGAGGAAGTAAAGTGACTTGTCGTTTTCAATTTACAAAAAAATACCTTTTAACAGAAATGACATTGCCAACTGTAATATTTTCTTCTGACATTGAGTCATCTGAAATTGCTTTCTTAATCAGACGCCGTTTATTCGTCAGAAAAAACAACTATAAACGTATGCAAATGCACTTAGGAGCAGCAGATTGCGAATCGTGTAAAGTACCTTCTAGAAAGATACTGGAAATAGTCGAACAAGAGCTGTTCCAGCGGAGGCGCATGAGGATGATCAGGACAAGTGCCTTGTTTACTTCCTTTCCATTAGAGTATCATTAATTACGCTAATTAATCGCCTCTGTAACGACAGTGATCTGAATGGCAAAGCAAAGGAGGGGGCAGTGGTCGGTGGATTTGGCGCCAAATGGGAAGCAGCTTTCGGTGGTGATGTGTTCAGCAGTTCTACGGGCAGTGGCTAATGGCTACTAAATTGGCCCCGGCGATGCATCCTGCGTGTGGCATGGCTACCAATGGCACCATCTCGCCTTATGTGTGCACCACTTGTCACGAAGTCTAATTGAAACTCGCATCTTTCTTCTTCCTCTCTCTCTCTTTCTCTTCCCGCAGATCGATCTACTTTGTCCATTTACATAAGCTAACATTGCCCTTTCTCCGAGACTAGCTGATAGTGCCTTTAGTTCTGCAACTAAAGACAAAGCCCAGTCAGCTCGAGTGAGCAAGTGCATAAAGGGCAAACCGAACAGCTGTGTGTGTGTGTGTGTGTGTAGGCGCCAGTCTGGCGTCGGTCTGCCTTTTGAGCAGCCGTTTAGTGGGCAATTTGCATTTAAATGAAATGAATCTCGCCTCGGCCAGTCAACCTGTTCTGCACGTAGCGGTGTTCTTTCGGCACCATGAGCACGATGCATTAATGTCTTAATGCTTCACACTTNATTTAAATGAAATGAATCTCGCCTCGGCCAGTCAACCTGTTCTGCACGTAGCGGTGTTTTTTCGGCACCATGAGCACGATGCATTAATGTCTTAATGCTTCACACTCTTTAGTGCATATATTTTTCAGCATTATATCTAACAATGGTTATTTGGACCACTGCACACAGCTGTGCAACCGGCAAGAACTTGGTTGAGGCCGGAAACTCCTCATTTCAACCATGTTAATGCTTCTGGATATATTTAGGTGTTTTGGACGAATCTATCCGCAAATTGATGCATTTCAAATGGCAAAGTAAACATTGGACGCCGACGAATGCTGGAGAAAAATGATAAATAAAAATGAGAGCACGTCCTGACAGCTGGCAGTTGTGCAACAACGGAATTGGCGCAGCAGCACTACGACGACAACGAGGATTGCTTGTCGGCAAGCAAGTGATGCAAAGGGGCAGACTGCACTGACACTGCCAATGCATTGCGAAATGGCACCACAGTTAAGCAATTGCTGTTCCGCCGGTTTGNATGTTAATGCTTCTGGATATATTTAGGTGTTTTGGACGAATCTATCCGCAGGTTGATGCATCTCAAATGGCAAAGTAAACATTGGACGCCGACGAATGCTGGAGAAAAATGATAAATAAAAATGAGAGCACGTCCTGACAGCTGGCAGTTGTGCAACAACGGAATTGGCGCAGCAGCACTACGACGACAACGAGGATTGCTTGTCGGCAAGCAAGTGATGCAAAGGGGCAGACTGCACTGACACTGCCAATGCATTGCGAAATGGCACCACAGTTAAGCAATTGCTGTTCCGCCGGTTTGCTTTAATTGCTTTGTCTCAACTTTGGTGACGATTGGCGCCAATTGAGACTACTGGTGACAAACGGACTGACAGAATCACAGATAGTGACAACGGCGACGATGGTGATGGCGGCGAACAAAAAACTGACTGACTGCAAAGGGTTTAGGAGACTGAGGCGCGACCTGAGGAGTGACACCGCCGGCCTGTGAACACGCGTCCATGCCCAAAACGAGCGAGTCGGCCACTGGAGTGAGGACTCGCCTTCGAGGACAAATATGGAAAGTGAAGTTTTCACTTGCCTGCACGGCTAAATTGTCATTCAGTGTAAGCGGCTCGAACCAGAAAGTAAAGGCAGATTTGTCGCCTGCAGCCACTGCCACCAAAAATACCTACGCCAAGTTGAGGGGGGCAAGTGGCAGCAGCAGCAGCAGCAGCAGCCGAGGTTCAAGTCTGGTCTTTCAGCACTAAAAATACCCATGCAGNTCATTCAGTGTAAGCGGCTCGAACCAGAAAGTAAAGGCAGATTTGTCGCCCGCAGCCACTGCCACCAAAAATACCTACGCCAAGTTGAGGGGGGCAAGTGGCAGCAGCAGCAGCAGCCGAGGTTCAAGTCTGGTCTTTCAGCACTAAAAATACCCATGCAGTGTGGGCACAGCAGCTCAAAGCTCAAAGCGGAATATTTTGTCATTCTCACCGTCACACTTGCGCTCCAGTCTCTGCTGAAGAGAATCGCCCAGTGGTGACTAACAGGATTGTACTTCTTGCAACCAACTTAATGGCAAGACTGTGCCAACCTTCTCAAGCACACTTCCAGTTAGACCGTTAGTCTTTCAATTGGCCTCGTGTGATGATGATGATGATGATCAACCGAAAACTTGTTTGTCTGCTGAAGGGCACTTCTGCCTAGAGCACCAGCAGGAGCAGGAGCAATGGCGGCAGTTAGAGCGGGAAAGTCAAGGCAGGCGCCGCATTGGTCTTTCATCTTGGTAGGTCTTCTTTGATTACTCGTCAATACGATTGCAGCCATCGCATCCTTCGATTATCAACGGAAGCGAGTGTGATTCAGCGTTCAAATTTGCACTGCTTGGTCCACCCTCTGCAGCGGTAACATTACCGTGCGGCGGTGGTGGTAGAGGTAGGAAGTGAACGATGAAGGATGTTGCCAGCAGTTTGTGGTGCCAACAGCAGTGCAAGTATGGCAGAGAGCGTTCAAGGGACAAGACATGAGCACGATGATTGGATAATTCGATTTAGTGGGCAATGCAACGGCTAATTGGCAATGTCGACAAGTGATGCCGATTGAGAGAAAGGCGCGCGCTCTCTTTCAGCACGAGCTCGATTAGGCCAGCGTGCTTGTGCTTGGGATGCATGGAAAGCACTGCACTGACGATTGTTGTGCACTTAACTAGGCCACACTGGCCGTGGCAGAAGAAGAAAGGCACCACTCATTCATTCACGTACACGAGGAGCACCATACACACACACACACAGCAAGTGTGAGTCTTCGGTTGAAGGTTTTAATAAAAGGTAAAAAAGTTCAATATACCAAAGTAAATATTAACATCAATAATCGTAATACAAAGTAGAAATATAATCTCCAATCGAAGTTGAAAAAGCTGAGAATTCAAAAATATATAAATTGCTCTAAAAGATGATCAGGATGGCGAGCGGCAGATGATATGAAATGTCGAGTCGATGCGGCAAAAATGAAAAGTTGGTGTTTGATTGAAGATTGAGGACAGAGAGCAGACACTACGTGCAGAGTGAGTGGACAGTGGGTGACCAGGAAGAGAGTGTGAAGGGGTGAGCACACCGGCGGCCTTGGGCTCGCCACCGCCCGAGGCCACAGAGGCCAGCCAGTGGCCGTGGGCGGCAAGGGCGGACAGTAGTTTGCATATCACAGCTGGCACACAACTGCCACACTATCAAAGGATGCTGCAGCGAACGGGGCAACAGTAGTTGGGCTTCTCTTTGGCCGAGTTGTAGCACATTTCGCGCACCACCTCGGTGAACACTTCGTTGACGTTGAGGCGATTCTTCGCCGAGGCCTCCATAAAGGGTGAGTTCCACATCTGAGCAAGGGTGATGCCCTCGTGTCTGGCCACCTCCCGCTGGTGTTCAATATCTACCTTGTTCCCAACCAGGAGAATCGGCACCCGATCAGTCCCTTTCACGCGTACAATTTGCTCCTTCATGTTTTTGATGTCTTGAAACGTCTGGTGCGCCGTGATGGAGTAGACAACGACGAAGCCCTGGCCGTTTTTGATGTAAAGATCACGCATTGAGGCAAACTGCTCGGTGCCGGCGGTGTCCAGCACTTCGAGGACACAACTCGTTCCGTCGACTTCAATTTCTTTCCGGTAAAAGTCTTCAATGGTAGGGTCATACTTTTCCATGAACGTTCCCGAGACGAACTGTACGGTCAGGGCCGACTTGCCGACTCCGCCGCTGCCGAGAACGACCACTTTGTACTCGCGCATGGTGCGGGCTCACTGTTTGTTTTTTGTCAAGGTCTTCAACGGCCGTGTGGTTGGTTACCGTGAAGCAAATGCAGAGTTAAATGCAGAGCTGGTCGTGTGTTGCTGCTGATGAAGCTGGTGGCAACAAATGTTTTCATAAAAATGTAGAAATCATCACAAAACGCTGACAAAAGTGTTGATCACAGAGGGAAACGCAAGTGGAAGTGATATCGGCAAAGATTGCAGCACGAATGATTGTGTGTTGCGCTGAAGACTGAGGATTTGGCCAGCTAAACAGACGCCGACCAAAAGCTTAGCTTCTTGGGCTGAAACCCAACACCAATCGCACTTTGGTGCAACGTCGGCGCGGCGTTGGTGCACGGCCGTCTGCTGGTGGTGCCGTACAAGATGACGAGCAGGGTGGAGGTGCAAGTGACCAAGAGTGAGTGAGTGAGTGTGAGTGAGTGTGTCTTTGCCTCCAGACTTGTGACAGGGCGCCGGCCACAGCTCCCAGTGGATTCAAGTGAGTGCGGCACACTGCTGCACACTACCACAGCGCAGATTGAGGCTGCAAATTCGTGGCGATGGAGGCAATTGCTGTCATGTGACGTCCAATGCGCCAAGAACCACCGCCAGCAGACATTAAAGAAAACAGAACGCCTTTGGCAGGAAAACACTTTTTCGCTTTCTTTGATTTGGAGGTTCGCTGCTGTTGAGGGGATTGCTCACTCTCTTGCACGTGCTGCTCCTTGGATTGTCACAGGTTGGCAGAGAAGTTGTGAGCAGGTCGGCAGCAAGGCGAGCTCTTACTTGCTCAGTCGGTGCCACTGAAGCACTACCACTGTGTCATTAGCATCATCAGTCCAAGTCGTCGAGCTCTTCCACTCTCCTCTTCCTCATGTTCACGTAATGTCAGAGTTGCTGTTGGTTGGTTGGCTGGTTGGTTGGTAATGGTGATGGTCGTCGTCGTTGTGATGGTGATCGTGTTGCTGCTGCTGCTGTTGCTGTGGATGGCAAGGGAGGTCTGTGTGTATTGTTTGATAAGCCGCCGGTGCCGGTAATCTGCACCACAATAGCAACCAAGACGATAGACGCGTTGGTGATGGTGTTCCTTTTCAGAGAGTAAGTGTGAGAGAGACACGGCGTGCAATGATGAAGCTGACCGAGCCAGTCAGTTAGGCTGGCCAAGTAGCGATGGCGATAAAGCCACGGCAATGTGCAAGACGCAAAGTTGGATGGCACATCACTCGATGGCTCACAGCTCGTTGTCAACTGGCGAACTGGCGATCAGTCGGTCTGACGAGGTCTGAAGCTGCTGCAGCAACTACGACTGCTGCTGCTACTGCTTGAAGCAAGCAAGCAAGAAAGCAAGAAGTGCCTAAAGTGCTCCTGCGCAGTGGCAGTCCTCCAAAGACTAATTCAAAGTTCTCTCCTCTTCAGCAGTGGTCTGCGGTAGTGCTGCTGCTGCTGTGAGGTGCACTTGGGCGACAGTGTGTTTGGGCAGTCTGCAGCGTTGCAGTGCCTCTGCACACGGCTAGTTCCAACACGAGTCGAAAAAAGAGAAACAGCAGCAGTTTTCACTTTCTCCATACGTCACCGTGATGATTGATGCATTCAATTGGCAGGGAAAAGAGAAAAGGATGCAGAGATCACCAATGACAGCCTCAGCCAGTCCGTCTACGGTACAAATCAAAGGTCTTCCACATTTCCGACTTTCAAACTCGCCCTTTCACAAATAATGGCGCAATGCAATTGGAGTTGTGCAAATAATCGCCCTAATCAGCGGCGACGGACATGTTGGCGAGGGAAGCCGTCGTGCGACGTTGTTGGGCCAACGAGGCGGAATTGAGCCACTGGTTCACCACCACCAACTGGCTTCCCAATCAACACTGCTTCAACTGTCCCCTTCGGCAAACACTCAATATAGCCCGCACTGGCGATCCAATTGGACGTCAATGACCTCGAAAGGATTTGCTCGGTCGGTTTGTCACTTTACCCTCAGTCAACTGTTATCACCAGGACTGGGAAAGGGAATTATCATGTCGGAACTGGGAAATGTTCAATGATCACAGTGCCATCTGGCACATCTCCTTCAAAANGCAAACACTCAATATAGCCCGCACTGGCGATCCAATTGAACGTCAATGACCTCGAAAAGATTTGCTCGGTCGGTTTGTCACTTTACCCTCAGTCAACTGTTATCACCAGGACTGAGAAAGGGAATTATCATGTCGGAACTGGGAAATGTTCAATGATCACAGTGCCATCTGGCACATCTCCTTCAAAATGACTGTTTATTCTCGGCACATGCAGACCTGATGACATGTAGAATGGGTCTCCAAAGTTAGGAGTCCTAACTGGGGAGCTCAGTCAGAATCACAGTGAAAATGTCTGGCACAGGCAACAGACTTTGCCGCAGAGGGATCACAAGAGGTCGCCCTGCCTAGAGCTANGCCTAGAGCTGACCTGAATAAGTTTGCGCATGCATTTCCGGTTAAGATTGACGGAATTCACTAGTACGACACAATGCAAATTAAATAAAAAACGTCACTACATTCATCTAAATTATTTAAATTGAAAAAAACATACAACAGTTGTTAATTTAAATTTATAAGCAGTGTAAAGAAAAATGGTCGAAGTTGTCAGATTTAAGTATAAATTGCCAGAAAAAACAAATGGAAATGTCGATAAAGAGAATGTCAGTTTCAGCAGTAGACTATTTGACCAGTTTATTCATTGGCCTTACTTGCAAGCCTTCTTCGTTTAGATTATTCGCCAACAAGATTTTCTCCATTTTCGGGCCAAACTGAGAGTGCGACTTGAGTGAGCTCAAAATGGATTTTTTCTTAAATCTAATTGCTTCATGAACAACTTCCAGCAAAATGTACTGGCCAAAGGAGCCTTCAATCGAAGAGAGGAATTGCATAATTTCAGAATCGTCTAGAAGGAAAAACAATAAAGTACATTAGTAAAGAACAACTATTGAAATAATGTAAAACACCATTTACCTTTGCTAGAGCGACGGACAAGACTCATAGCATGATTCTTTTTCTCGTACTCTTCCATTGTAAAGTTTTTTCTCCTGTAAAAGTTTAAAAGGTACTCTGACAAATCTTCGGTTCCATTTTGCTCAGGCAAGACAGTTTGTGCCTGTAGTGTTTTCATCTGCTTAGTAATACTAGACACGCCATTGGTCATCGTCAAAGGCCTCTTGTTGTTGCTGTTGTTGTTGACAAAGGGAGATGGACGGCCTAAACCTTTATGTAGAGGCGAGACAGTAAGTTCGCTTTGATACAGGTTGTTCTTAGTTGAAATTAATTGAATGTCACCAGCGTTGTTAGAAATTTGATTGTTTCCCTGATTGGGAATGAGAGATGGTGCGTTTTTAAGAGGTTTCGAAAAGTGGCCATTCATTTGAACATGAGGTTTGCCGGTAAATGGACCATTAGTCTGGTTTTGGAATTGGTAATGAGGAGAAAAGTGTTGCGGTGGATTTTGAGGCAAAGCATTGAATTGATTGGGTGAACTGAAGGGCGAATGATTTGGTGATGAGGACGGACTATACGGGGGTGAAGGCACAGGAGAGGGCGGCGGTGTGAGAAGCCTACTGTAGGAAAAGTCTTTGGGTAGAGGGCCGGGTTTTCGCTTTTCTCTATTGTTCCCAGCAATTTTATACGGATCAGAAGTTGTTCGCTTGCTGTTTCTAATGTTAGGACTGGTGCCACCACCACCGCCATTTCCAACGAGATCAATATCAGCTTCGTCAATCATCATCATATTCTTCTTGTCCAGTTTGAACGGATTGCCAAACATGTGCTGCCGAGTTGGTGTGGCTTCAATTTCGCGCAAGGGAACTGGTAGCTTTTTGAGGTATTCCTGGTAGTTGCCCATCTGACTAACTGGCAAACTGTGTATCTGATCTTCGTCTTGAAATTTAATATGAGACGTTTGCTTTTGAAAAAAGTTACGGCGAAGTTTGTGCACTTGATCAATTAGATCATGTCGTGAAATGTCGAATGGATTGCGATAACAGTGCCCTTTTGATTCTACGTTGGGCTTGTCTTTGAATGTGACAATAAAACTACTAAAGTCCGTCATTTGCTCACTTGGGATGTTAGAAAAGAGCTTCTTTAAAGATGGGTTAGAGCAGTACTCGAGTGCTGATTTGCGATTGTAGGGAAAGAGATGGTTGCTGGAAATTCGCGGCCACTCAAGGTTTTGGGGTTTGGGATTTCCAACTGCAGCAGCTAACTTTTCAAATTCAATCTTTGCCAGATTTTTGTTCTTCTTGATCAAGTTGTTTAGCGTTACGGTAGAGTAAACATCAAGACTTTCAGGAACAAGTGCTGAATTGGCGCCCATACGTTGCAAGGCCCGTCTCAGAGGTGCCGCGTAGTAGGCGGGCATCATTTTGAGGTAGTTATCAAATTGCATTTTCCACTCACGAGTTGGCTTTCCGTTGTGCAGCTTGAGCAGTTCATCGAGCAAAGGCAGCAAAATGGGATAGTTGTAGGGAAGGACAAACAGATTAACACATGTCAAGTTTGTGCTGGCTTTCAGGTACCCAAAAGGTTGCCCTAATTCAGAGCCCCTTTGACTGTTGGCCACGTAGACTTGCCAGGCAACATTGGGCTGCTTCCTCATTAGAATAAATTGCGTGAGAGGGCTTGGGTCCAGTTCGTACTTGTCAAAAGGCAAATTGTCAATCACAGTAGGCTCAGAGTTTGTACAAGTGAACTTCACGACGGGATGCGCAGTTCGAGGCGGAAGGTTAGGCACACCGTTGTCTGGCCAGTACGATTCAGGAATGGGCCAATGACCAACTGAATAGCCCTTCTGGCCTGATCGGACGTAAATTAAATTGCGAACAGACGTCCACGCGCGATTATTCGTGTCATTGATGAGTTCTTCTTCATTTGGAATGATCAACGGAGGTTCAGGACCAAACTTTTCAAACTTGATCATCACACCAATGTGCATTCTGGACACCAATTGCTCAATGCTAGAATTGAGCGATTTCGTCGAAGTAACACAAAAAGAACGGCCTACGGAAAATGAATTTTAGTTCAAGTTAAATTAAAGTACGGCATAAAAGGTTACCTCCAGTGACGTCACACATGGCGTTGATTGGCGATTCGTCGTAAGGCACATTTATGTTGGCTCCGTTTGTCTGTTGGTCAATCGTGTACGTGCCACTGAGTCGCAGCACTATAGAAAACAGACGCTGGTCCCAACGAAACGGCTCCAGTGTCAGCTCAGCACCAGGTGTGTGATTCACCATAGGCAAGTTGAGTTCAGGCTGAACATTTGTTGTAGAGGTGTACCTGCCCCCGTCAGTTATGGCGATGATAATTGCGGCTTCCAGGTAGTACGGACACCGTCCTGAGCCATGAGTGTCGATGCCAGTTTGCATACGATTGATGTTTAGGTAGTCAAAGGCATTTTTCAACGCCGGGCCAATGGTGGTCATTCCATTTGCCGTCAAGTTCTTAAGTTCGTTCATAAACACGCCATGATTTTCCTTCCACCCGGCCTATTAGCGAAAAGATTTTGTATTAAAAATTAAAAATAAAATGTCAGCATCAACACGTACCTTGATATTGTATGGAGTTTCGTCAAATGTAAGAAGCATGTATCGATCACCACGAGAGGCATTATCGCGTTGGCGCAACTGTATAATTCAAAAAACATTTAAAACTTTTGCTACGAGTACTGTAAAAAACTATGAAAAACTTAAATGAAAAACTTAAAATTACTCAAGTAACTAATTACAGGAAAAACAATTAAAACTAATTATAAAAACAAATAAACTTAGAGAAGCGGCACCTAGCGGCGTCAAGAGCAAGCTCTAAAATCGAACTCGAAAGGGAGGGAAAACACAGCATCGAACTAATGCGATAAGCACAAGAGTTATGTCAGCTGATCAGATGATTCTAAATGAAAAACTTTTACTAACCTTGATAAATTTTTCCACTGTTTCTTTGGTGACATCGAGAAGAGTGGGCCTGGCTCCATAGTGTGTTCTTTGGTTCATCGAGCCACTCGTATCGATGAGAAATAAAATTATCGTCATCTTTGACTAACTGCTGGTGACGGCAACACTTCAGGTCAGCTGAGACATGTAAACACAAGCATGCACCGGAACTACTCTAAGCAAAGAGAAGCCGGTGAAGAGAAGGGTGGAGACGATGATGAAGATGGTGGTGGCGGTGACAGCAACCGTGTTGAATGGCAACGCGCGAGGTAATTCAGACTAGTGATTGTGTGTTTCTATTACTGCTACAGCCGATGCCGCTGGTGGTGGTGGTAGTGGCCAGATTGCGGTAGATGGTGCTGAGGAAAAGCACTGCGAATGAGGTGGCTGGCGAGAGGAGAGAGTAGAAGGCGACTGCAAAGGCGTCTGTGGACGCTAGTGAAGTAACGTGACAGGAGACGGGAGCAGACGACAGTAGAAGTGCTCTCATCGAGGTCTAGCATTCAACTGACTCGTCGCAGTCTCTGCCTGCTTCTGTGGCCAATTTCACTGTGTTGTCCACATCTAGTGTTGCCTCTGCTGTGCTACCTTTCGCAACACTAAGTAAGCTCCGCCCTCCGAGAAAAAGGGAATAGAAAGGCAAGCTGTACTAGCGGCACTGGACGCAGTCGCCGATGATGACACCTCCACACTGTCCGCACCAGATTGTGCTCACCAGGGCGGACGCCGCCGCTGGGCGCCAAGGGGTCAGAGGGCAGGCAAGGGGGCAAGGGCAGCACTCTGGCCCAGTCCTCGGTCCCGGGGACTGCGGGGCAGCAGGCAGAGAGCAGCGGAAGAGTGCCCGGCTGGCGCAACGCCAGAGCACCTGGGCAGTGATGGCGGCCACCGAGCTAGTGGCCCCCCTTTCCCGGCCGATCCAGCTTCAGCGAGTAGTGTGTTTGTGTGTATCTGTAGAGAGGATCACCGCCGCCGCCGCCGCCACCACCACTGCCGCTGAGGAGAGCAGTCAGCGCAGCGTATATTACCAAGAGCTGCACTGTGCCTGCGAGCTCAGTTGCTCGCTTCGAGTGGAGCGAGTAAGACGTACTACTCGCCCAGTCTGGGCCCTCCGCGTGACGCTGATACCACTGATGGCCATCGCCACTGGGATCAAGGCGCGACCAAGGTCTTGTGAACTGAATCTTGCCCAACAATCTCGTCAGACACCATCTCACAACCATTTCTCTCACCTACGCTGATGTGCTACTGCTCTTGCTGCAGGTGATGATTCTGTTTGGGTGATGCTTTCGTGGTGGTGCTCACTCTGCAGACTACGACACTGCCTACTTCTCGTTTGTGTTCCCAGTGCACCTTCATCAACAGGGAGGTGGTGGGCACAAACACACACTTTCTCTCTCTCGCTCACTCAGTGACCTATTCAGGAGAGATTGCTGGTGCAAGACTGACTTTTGGTGAGGAACACTCTCCCGAGGACACAGAACTAACCTGCTGAAGTCAACACCACGGACGCCATGTACGCGTAATGTACAAAAAAAGAGAGACTTGCACTTTACTAGTAGTCAAAACGTAACATGTACTATACGGTAATCTTGAGGACACTTTTCACTTACGTCTCCTAGCTCGCTTTTTGTCCTTGTACCGCTTGATGGAGTTGAGTCGGAACGTCTTTAAGGGGTCAGAGTCCTTAGCGGAACGACGCTGAGCAGCTGCTGGCCTCGCCTTTCGCCGCTTCTTGGGCTCATAGCTGAGAGATGCGGCCTCCTCGATGCGCTTGTTCTCTCGCTTCGACTTGACCACCGTTTGCAGCGTCTTCGGCACAATGTACTCAGGGACGTCTGCCAGGTGGGCTTTGTGCTTCACCGTGTGCAGAGGCCGGTCAAATTTGAGTATCTTGTGGTCCTTTGGATGGTCCTTGAAGAAGCTTTTGAGAGCCGTCGAAGCGAGCATTTCACGTTTGATTTCTTTAATGCGAGCCTCCTTGATGGCGATCGAGGTGACTGCTCGCAGGGCGTCGCGCGCACTGTGTGGGAAAAGAGTACAAATGTCGTTTAGCACTGGCTGCCTGCAAGCCTCAGGTGACTCTTTCCTACTTACCGGTATTTGAAGGCTTCCAGCTCGTCCATCTTGAACTGATATGGCCGGAAGTTGCCCTTTTCGCCAAACTTTTTGGAGACTTTTTGAAAATATTTGCTCTCTCGTGGCGAGACAAAGGAGAGTACATTTCCCTCTGCCTCCTCATTTCCGCGAGCCGTTCTACCCACTCGATGAAGGTACGAGTCAACGGTGGTGGGAAAGTCAAAGTTGATAATATTGGAGACAAACTTAAAGTCGATTCCCCGCGATACGCCGTACTGAGCATTGCCTTTGGGCGATTTTTTCTTCTCTCGAGTGCCCGGATCAATGACGCACTTCTCGTCGCTTGCAATTATAATGTCGTACTGGTTCGAGTTGAATTGCTCCACCACGTAGCATCGCGAAGCGATAGGCAGCTCAGAGTTGAGCACACAGGTGCGAATAGCAAACTGCTCGAGAAACAACTTCAGCTGGTAGCACCGGTCGACGCTGCTTACAAAGACTATCGTCTTGCCGACAATGAGGCCCAGCTTTAGAAGGGCATTGACCAGGACAAACTTTTCCTCGTCATCCTGCACTTCAATGTGGTACTGCTGCAACTTGCCACTCTCCGGCAGATCAGGCTCTTGGAGCTTCAGAATGACTGGTTTGTGGAGGACAAGCTTTTTTAGCTCCTTGACGTCGGTGTTTAGTGTAGCAGACATGAGAAAACTCTGAACACCTGATTTGGGCAAGTTCTCCAACACCTTCATCAAGTCTTTCTCGTAGCCAAAGGAGAACATGAGGTCCGACTCGTCAATGACCAGGTAGCTGAGATCATCTTTAATCGACGATAGTAGTTTTGCATTCAGGTACTCTATTACTTTTTTCGGTGTCGATATCATTATGTCGGGCTTGTCTGAAACAAGAATGGCACGCTTGTCCTCGACGGACCCTTGTGACAAGTCGACGACGGAGACTTCCCTTGAGCAGAATGATGTCAATGTGCGGAAATGTGAATGCATTTGCGAGCATAATTCTTTTGTTGGCGCTAAAACAAGTGCTCTCAACTTGCTGGACGAATCGTACCGCTTTGTTTCGAGGAGCTTTTGCACAATCGGTATGGAGAAGGCTCCTGTTTTGCCCGTTCCAGTGCTTGCTCGAGCCAAAATATCATGGCCTAAAGTGAAAAATGCTTTAGTAAGTATTGTCATTACTTTTTTCCGAATACAGTTTACCTTCAAGAGCTAGAGGAATGGTCTTTTCCTGAATCAGCGTCGGTCGATTCCATCCAAATAAGGCAATAGAATGAAGGACCTTGTCGTCGAGGCCCATTTCATCAAAAGACAGTGGCTGTTCCTCTTCGTCTGACTGTTCCGTTTCCTCTTCCGTCAAGTTCTTTTTCTTGGAACTCATGATCACAGGAAAATAGTAAAAACAATTTTAAAATGTGAATCCAAGAACTGGCTGCAGTGAAATAAAAACAGAACTCGAGAGCTTTGCATGCTGCAAACTTTTTTTTGTTTTAACCACGTGTTTAGCGCTGAGAGTGGAAATAGTGTACGAAAAACGGCAAGGCGGGAATTTTTACTGATTTGTATATCAGTCTAAAACTTTGTTTATTTCACTACACTTCTGTTTGTTTGTCGAAAATCATTGAGCAAATGCAATTTCATTTTTAACAAAATGCTCCTTTTCATTGTCGCCCATTGTTTTCCACTGTGAACAGTCAATTACAACTGGGCTAATGCTACTTTTTTGAAGCATTGTAAGTTGAAAGTGGCTCTCTCCATTCAGAATATATGGATCACGACAATAGTTCCGCCGATTCATGAGGACAAAACCAATGGACTGCTGATCTTCAGTGCAGGCCAGTACATCAATCATTAATCCACTTGGCAAAATAGAGTTTTTAGTAAGCTTCAACTTGTTTGGTAGTCGGGAAAGGATGAACTGCACCTCTTCTGTAATGGGATTTGTCTGAGAGGACACTTCATTGATCAGTAAAAAACAGTACTCATCCAAGTAAGGTTTCAACTTGTTTAACATTAATCGAAGTCGAGCTTCCTCTCTGAACTGATGTCCCTTGTCGAGCAGCAGACCCTGGTATATAAGCGCAATCGTTTTGAGGAAGATGTGCCTAAAATGAAAGTAGTGTGAATAAAAGGTACCAATGATTGCCTTTAACCTACCTTTTTGAGGTTGAAACTGACTCTTCAGCTGCCGCTTGCAAGTGATTGTTGAACCATTCTTGAATAATATCTTCTGACAAGTGCACATTCAAAAGCTGGCAGCTTTTTAAAAAATAAAAATACATCATTCGCGATTTTGAAACTTGTGATTTGAAAAATTTGGATGTGCGAATGTTTTCACAAATTCTAGTAAAGTCACCGTGTATTTGTTGGCTATTAGAGGGAAGAGTGAAAAACTGAAGCACGTTGGTGACTGAAATCTGACCATCAGGATCAAACAACATCAAATTATTCTCTTCAATCAGTTGAGCGAAACGAGAGAGCAAGTTGTAGTCGACAAACTTAAAATTCCAATTCTGCAATGCTACAAAATACTGATCTTTGATGGTAAAGTTTTCGTTCTGAAGAGCAGTTTTGTTGATAAGCTGGAACAACTTTGAATTGTAAAAACTCGGGTTTTTCCTCATTTTGGCCAATACGTTGACGAGAATATTGCTTGGTAAAAGCTCGAGCTCACTCTCGTCGGCATTAATGATGCAGTCAATACATTTAGAAGCAATTGACCGCCCGAGTGCCTGGCAATCATCGTCAGACAAGTCAAGAGAGTAAATATAAGAAAGGAGAAGGCTGTTTTGTCGAAGACTATGTTGCGTTACATTTCTATTCACAAAGCGAAGAATTTTGCGTAGTGCTTCGGCATCGGAGAAACGGTCGCTTCCGAAAGTGGATATCAGATCTAAGCAAAGGAGCAGTGTACGCGGATTATTAAAATCCATCTCCTTGTTGTTGATTCGATTTTTCAGCGCATATGGCAGCGCAAGTTTGATCGCATCTGGAAGAGTACTTTTAGTGTGCGAGTCTTTTTGAATTACTCTTAAAAGATTCGCCAACTGATGCATTTCATCAACCGAGTACTCGTTGATTGAGAAGCGGACCATTTGCATTAGGGCTTGGGCCAAAAGAGTGTCTATTGATATGCCCAGTTTATGGAGGGTCATCAACGAGAGCAAGGCTTCACTGGGCTCCATGTGACGAGCTAACTTTAAAGCACGATTCGTCAACACTTGAAACTAGAAAAAAACACATTAGAAAAAAGGAAATTGCTTAAACAAAAACTACCTCTTTAGAGCCAAGTAACTCGAACTTTAAAGCGTCATCATGATCCGAATACTTGACGATATTGTTGATTGTTTCAAAACAAGTGCTAATGTGGGCAGCACTCATGCTTCTGAAATTGGCCCCAATAAGCACTTTCACTTGATGAATGGTGATTGCTTTTATTAGCGCTTCTTCCAACAGGTCCGTAGACTCATTTGAAACAGGGCCTAAACCCAAATCGACAGTTTCCTTTAGTTTAGCTAGTCGGTTCTGAACTGAATCGATGAGAAGAGGCATAACCGATGATTGGCTGATTTCTTGTGCTTTTGGCGTTCTCTGGAGTGTTTTTGAAACTGATCTTGCCATCCGAAGCTGCTGATAGCTGCCGAAATGCTGTAAGCTACCGGCAAGGTGCCTAATTGAACTGAATTTGGAGAAATACATTTTGGTTCATTAATGATTTTGAAATGCCGACGAGAAGCGTGGGTCGGATTGATGTTTACAAAAACATTGAACGAAAACAGCTCGAGTCGTAAACAGCGTGACACCACTTGGCGATGTCAGATTAAATTATTCAATGCATTTTTCATCTTTTTCATCTTTCACATAAATGATCAACATTTTGCATACATTCACAGTACTTATCAGTAAAAATCTAATTTGTTGTACAAAAAATCATTCGTCTTAGCGTTCTATATCATGTGAGACTGAACAAATATCAGATTATTCGCCGGAAGTTTAGAGGAATGAAGCAAAAGATTTTCGACGTCAGTAGAGTGCGCCTAGCAGTGGAAAAAGCAGCGCAAGTGTTCTTGTGTTGCACAAGTGCAACTGTCACTCTTGCTCGCACCTTCGCGACCAGACACTTTATCGAAGGAGGCCTCAGTTGTGCCAGACAGTTGACAGTTGTACCTTTCTATTGCGTTCCCTTTGGAAGATCGATATTCCCAAACATGGCAGTGGGATAGTGTACACTGTACAACCGTCGATTGTCGTGATGGTGATTGGTGGCCGCTGGGCCGATTGCAAGCACACACACACACACTCACTCACTTGCATTTGATCGGCAACAGCGAGCACAGTGCTGTGTACAGTGGGCGTTCTGCACTATCGCACTGTTCAATCACACAACTAATTTAAATTATTTCCAGCTGAGCACACTCTGCCAAGCGCTCTTCCATTGCTGGCTGTCAGAACAGAGGAGTACTCAGTTTTTGCAGTTGTAGCACATTTCGAAGCGCGATCCAGCTTCTCGCATAACATGAATCGACTCTGTTTGAATCTCTTGGTCGTAGCCTTGCGTAAGTGAACAGGTTGCCTTAGTCATGCCAATCCGAAGTTAAACTGTCCCCTTGTACTCCTATTAGTTGGCGCAGTGCACTGTCAGTCATCGATTGACATTGACATTGAGCCTGGAACAAACGCCTCTACGGTCACTCCTTCAGTGGTCACCAACGACAATGTCAATAGCACCAGCACAGTGTCCTACCAGTCGACGCTGTTTCCCATATGGAATGGCACCACGGAAAGCCAGCCACCCACTACCAACCACACCACGACGACGACGAGCAGGACGACGATGACCACTTCGCATAGACCAACAACAACCACGACGACATCAAAGACCACCACGACCACCAGCACAACAACAATGAAACCGACCACATCGAATGGAACGACTCATCACACGACAACTCAACGGCCGACGACGTCGACTGTGCCCGTGCCCACGCTGCCACCGGAACCGGTCGCCCCAAGCACTCCCTGGAACTTGACGTACGGGGCAAAGGGCAACCACTGCCTAATGGTGACATTTGCAGGACGTATCGAGATAATGTACCGCAATGTGCTCAATCATACCGTCACAACGGGTCTCGACGTGCCCAAGAATGCGTCTGTCAGCTCAAAGAGCCACTGCGCGGAGGACCAGGACGAAGAGACACTGATTCTGGACATTGAATCGCCCTCTGTGCCTCAAGGGGCGCTCATGTTCACCTTCCTCAAAAACTCTACCAACAAGAACGACTCCACTTTGAGTGGCATTGAGCTCAGTTTGCGGATCAATGATGATCTCTTTCCCGGCGTATCGTCAGAGTTTCTAGGTAGGACAGCACTTTTAGTACATTTAGCCATATCTAATCTCTTAAACCTCACAGGTGAAATGATGTCATTGTCTGCTGACAACCTTTCGCTCTTTGAGACCACCGTTCAGCATTCATATTCTTGCGAATCGCTTCTCAAGACCAGTTTAGTAACAGTCAAAGTGAATGGATCAGAGGACATGAGTGAGGGAGGGTCAAAGTCAAAATCTCCCTTTTTAAGTGGAACTTTTGAAAGCAACAATCTCAAAGTACAAACCTTCTTACCGACTGATAAAGATACAAGCAGCTTCCTGCCGAGTAAGTAATTGCTTTCCTCGATACAATTTGATAACAAAATACCTGATCATTTTTCCCAGACATTGTCTGTCCGGAAGACCAGAACAAGGACATTTCGTCAACGATTCCCATAACGGTTGGGTTGGTGCTACTATTCTTGGTTGCTTGCGTTCTTATCGCTTACTTTATCGGAAGAAGCAGGCAACAAAACTATGCTACAATGTAATAAAATAAATTTAAATGAAGTGGAAAGAATAAAGATGAGATGATGAGCCCAAAGTGTTTACTTGTTACTGGCTGTCGCTGGATGAGCTGCTGGACGAGTCCGTAGACATGACCTCAACATCATCGTTGTCTTTGGCGTTGCTGCTAGATTTCATGTCGACGTGGTGGTCAAAGCTTGCGTTGAGCGAGTTGACATTCGGCTTAATGTCATCGTACTGGTTAGCCCACGGATAGGGAGAGCCCGAGGCACTGTTTGATGATGGCCTTACTAGCGCTTGCTCGGGTTGCATTTGCTGGTTCTGTTGAACATACTGATTCTGCTGCTGCTGCAGCAAACTGGACAGGTTAGCGTCGTTCGAGTTGGCCAATAGACCGGACTTCATTTCGAGGTCAGTCGGGTAGGGCCTTCGTTGGTCGCCGATTTCCCAGTTGTAGGGGGAGGCCACTGAATGATCAGCACTAATTTTATGCGCATACTTTATCAATTCTTCCGATGAAATTGGATGAGAGTTCGCCTTTTGAATTAGTGACAACTTTTGCTTGGCTTGAAAGATGCCGGTCGCCTGAAAATAAGATTACAACTTCAACAACTGATCGACTTTTAAATAGTTAGTAAACTTACTAAAATATGTTCGGCTTCTTTGAGATCTTTTTGCAGCTGACGAAGCTCGACATCATATTTGTCAACTTCAGTCCTCAAAATTTCAATCTTGGATTGTATCAACTCCTGATCTTGAGCGTTCTCCAGCTCCTCCTTCAGTTCCTGGTCTTTCTTTACCAGCAGTTCAGCAAGGTGGTTTCCGTCAATTAAGCTTTGCCGCACGTGTTTCGGTGCCAGGAAATACTCAAAGAGTTCTCTGTCAAAACAAACATTTCAACTTGAGCAAAAAAGGTAATTTTGATGACAGCAAACTGAACACTTACTTTGAAATGAGCTCGACATCGGTAACAATGTTGAGTAGACGATCTTTTGGGCAATTGGCCATTGTGTACGTTCTATAGAGAGATCAAACCAGGCTCAAGATTCAAAGATTCACAAGTTCCAGGCAGGACATTTTAAACAGCAGAACATGTGCTCAAAACAAAGAGGCGGAGCTTAATGTTACTGTTAAAAACAGAATTCTGTTTTCCATTTTATGAAAGAATTTAAAAGAATCTAAAATCTCAGTGTCAAATTACAAATACAGTTTTTTAGTTTGGCAGAGTACCGAAAATAATTTTAAAAACTTTGCATAAATGTTTCAAAATTATAAAACTACAACTTTTACCGCTGTACAGCGTTTATGAATTGAGCGAATGTATTTTTTGCGAGTTGCATTTTTTTGCAAGATTTTTGAGCGACAACTTTTCAGGGCGTTTCATATTCACTAACACAAAAACTGAAAACACGATTGCCTCAGAGTACTCGCCTCTGAGCAGAAGAAGGCTTCCGATTCTGAAGATACTGACCTTTTGATTACACAACGAGCTAAAGGTACTGTCAAAACATTTGCTTGTGATTGTTTTTGTTGTCATTTTTTGTTTGAACATGTTATTCGCATTTGAACTTGAGTCATTGTTTTTCTGATATCACCTGTATTTCGATAACCCTTTACGTAATCTTTAGGCAGGGCTAAAAACTCATTTACCTCAGAAAAGGCCAATACCACACTTGCAATTTAAAGTATTCGTGTAGCTTAATGAGAGCTTAGTAGGTTGTTGTCATCAGTCAACTTTATGACAGCTTTGTACCTACAGTCTGCTGCCACCCCAATCCTGGTCCCGGTAACAAGCTGTACAAGTTCATCCATGGTAACCACTGCTGGTGAATCACAGATGACTTGTAGTGCCGGCACTCAACAGTGAGCGAAACAGGGAGAGATAGTGCGTAGTTATCCTAGACCAGTCTTTCGTATCTCGATTGTCAGCAGAGAGTTGCTTTGCCCAAACGACTAGATTCATGCACCAACACGATGCCCAGCCGCTTCCCCTAATCAGTCACTTGATCAGCCTACGGTAGTGCAAGACGAGATCCCACTCTGTTTACGCCACTCTTGCTCGATCAATGCGATTGGAACGACACCAGCGGACTATGCTTTCTCTCTTTGGTGTGCCACTGCTGTTCTGTGGCTGCATAACGCGCAGTGAGCTGATGTGATCTCTGTGTACAAAAATACTTGACGCAAGTCGTTGTGACAAAGATTGGCCAGTACTGGCCACATTCAAACACAGCAAGCTGGCTTCAGACGAGGTAAACTTTGCTCCGAATACAAAACCAAATTACAAAACTACTGTCTGGTCGACAATGTAGCCTGGACGTGGCAACATTTCCCTCCTCACGCCAACTTATCTTCCTTATCTTTGTTTGTAGAAAGTCAACGCAAACCAACGAAGACGCCACCAGCGAAGCTTTTGCACTATCCACTGCAGAGTACACTTTGATTACCTCACTCTCTTTGGCACTCATCTGCCACTCGTCTCCACTCGCAGAACAAGTCTCCGCGCATAATATTTCACACACTTTTGCAACATGGGACAAAACTACTTGACGGCTTTTGTTCTCTTGGGTACGTCTTACTCGGGCTCGACTTTATAATTTACAAATAATGTAATTACATTTTCTTTATTCGCAGCTGTATTTGGATGCTATCTATGCCAAGGAATCACACCTAACACTACCACAACGGTGCCGCCGCCGCCTACCACTGTAACTACCACAGTGGCCCCGACAACGACCACGGTCAAACCGACTACGACGACGGTCAAACCAACTACAACAACTGTCAAGCCGACGCCANGCCGCCGCCTACCAATGTAACTACCACAGTGGCCCCGACAACGACCACGGGCAAACCGACTACGACGACGGTCAAACCAACTACAACAACTNGCCGCCGCCTACCAATGTAACTACCACAGTGGCCCCGACAACGACCACGGTCAAACCGACTACGACCACGGGCAAACCGACTACGACGACGNACCGTTCCGCTGCCTTTAACCTCTGTTGCCCAGTTTCCAACCAATACCTGCTCATCGGCCCAGGAGTCGTTTTCCCTCCTGTACGGAAAGGACCTCAATTTAACTTNGACACCCACTCCTACTCCTACTCCAGCGCCCAAGTTCATCTCAGGAAACGTGACTGAAGGCAATTACACCTGTTTGCGCTATGAGTTTACAGTCCAGTTTTTTATCAAGTTCAACACTACCGAGAACAAAACTAAAACCGCCACCGTTCTGCTGCCTTTAACCTCTGTTGCCCAGTTTCCAACCAATACCTGCTCATCGGCCCAGGAGTCGTTTTCCCTCCTGTACGGAAAGGACCTCAATTTAACTTTGACGTTTGCAAAGAACGAAAACTCTGTATTTCTGGACACAATCAACCTCTTTGTCGTGTACAACAACGAAAGCTTCCCTAACATTAAGACAGACTTGATCGGTAAGCAGCCTTACACTTATGTACACGAAAGTGATATTTACTTTATTTGTTTGCTTTTTAGGCAAGAACCATACTTACAATCTCAACAGTCTAAGTCCCAACTTCAACGTGGAAAAGTCTCACTCCTACGTTTGTGCCAACGTGACTGTTCCCAAAACTGCTGAAGGCGAACTTCAGGTAGTGTTTTCCAGCCTTCGCCTTCAGGCTTTTATGGACAAGGCCAAGAACGGTGAATTTTCTTCTGGTAAGTGGTGGGCAATGTACAAAATGGTTGTACAGTTATAACATTTTGCTTTTTTCAGAGCACAATTGCCAGAACGAAATTAGTAAGTTGCTCAATTGTTTTTAGGGTGACTATTCTCTTTAACCTAACATAATATTGTATTTCTAGACGACGTGGTTCCCATTGCTGTCGGAGCTGCTTTGACTGGTCTGGTCATTATCGTTTTAATCGCGTATTTCATCGGAAGAAGGCGAAGCCGCCGTCTGGCGTACCAGTCTGTGTGAGCAAGAGAGCCNCTGGTCATTATCGTTTTAATCGCGTATTTCATCGGAAGAAGGCGAAGCCGTCGTCTGGCGTACCAGTCTGTGTGAGCAAGAGAGCCGAAAGACTGAAGATTGGAACTGGAAGAAGAACCTGAGTCAACTTTTGCCACAGTTTATCATTAATTAATCTTGCTTAACATTCAACACAATCACGTTAACTACACTGGAAATTTACTTTAGCTATGCTGATCAAGTTGATCCCACACTTTTAATTTAAACTCCAATTTTTAAATCTAAAGCCCAAAATTGTCATCTGTGATACGGTCAGGGTTTTCTATATTCCAATGTCATTTATTGAAAAAGAAATTTGTATTTACACGAGTGGCATCAATTATTGTAGTGCTCCAATCATATTATTACACGATTAAAAACATCTGCAATTGGCTCAATCGGACTGAGGTCTGCGGACAGTGCCCACAAAGAGGATCATGTTAGTGGAGGTTTCACGTACCAGGTAGAGGAAGGGCCGATTGGCCACAAACTGCGTCGGAAAGAGCGGCCGACCAGAACGGGCGAAAATGATTGCCGTTGCTGCGGCAGCCTCCGTCCCCTCTTCGTTCACCTTTATGTAGCTCTTGTGTAAGACTGAATTGAGTGAGGTCAAGTTGCGGTCGGCTTCTTTGGCAAAAATCACCGACAGATTGACGAATCGAGGATCAAAGATTTTTTTATACCCAATCGAAAACAGAGGGCCGGCCAACTCAAACTCTTGTTCGGCTGTGAACTTGGGCATGATCAGGTTAACATCGTCGTCTACCATGCTATTTAGTAGTTCTTGCAAGTTTGGCACCGTCAAGTCACGAAGCAGGGCATCCAAGCCCCTCTCGGCACTAGGCAAAACGATCACCATTGAGTGCTCCTGATTTGAGTAGGGCAGCTCCACAGCTGAAGCATGCAGCTTATCAGAGATGGCATACAGAAGGTTGACGGACTCGATGTTCATCATGTCCACTTGAATGACCTCCTCGGGGGAAACGTAAAACTTGTCTTTAGTTGTTTTGGAAACATCGAACTGGTGGGCCCAATCAGATTTGAAGTAGACGGCATTCGCAATCACCACCTTAGTGCCAACATTTATTGAGCCAGCCGGTAGAAGGTCGACAATTTTGGAGTGTGTTTGGTTTTTCACCCATTCGTTGATGTTCTCTAGAGCCGTTTCAGGTTGAGTGGCAAATTTCTTTTGCTCAATAATGGACGGAAAAATGTCCCGAAAGCAGGAATTTATTTTCAGCCGGTCTGAAACGAAAATTTTGTTCACGTCAGTGAAATACGTCCTGGTCGTGACGTTGTTCTTGGTAGTTCCCTTAAGCTTTTGCCACATTTGAATTCCGTTGAATGCCATCGCCACGGAGGTCTTTGAAATGTTGCTGAGTTTCAGTCTCTTTAGAAGTTCCTTTTCTGTTTCCCCCCTTGAGCCTAAAGAGTGAACTTTCATTATAAAACAGACAAAAATCGCAAAATGTCTTATTACCTAAATATGTTACCATCAGCGTCGACCAGAGAGAAGATGGACTGAAGATGAGTCCCTTTGAATCAGATTTACTTTCATAGCGACTAAGTGTCCTTATTAACTGTATTCCAAGGTGTTGACAGCTTTCCACCAGCATTTTGCTGACCATTTCCATCTCTTCGACGGAAACTGTTTCATTGTCATGAAGGCACTTTGCGTATTGTGTTGTATTGAGCACATTCAGGCGTCTCGTCTGATCTGGACCTTCATTGCAGAATCCTTGTTTTGGTGCAAAAATCCAGATTGAGAAAAGAATTGGCAAGATGTTCATCATTGTTATTCTAAACAGAAAGAGTAGTTGGATATTAGTAAAAACATGTTGACAGATAGTTTTTTCAAAAAAAAAATAAATTCTGGCGAAAATAGAGAATTCTCTCTGTGAATGGACCCAACGTCATTTTTTTTGTTCAGCGCTGAAACAAAACAAAACAAACCGATTCTAACTGTTGACACTGAATGAATGTCCAATGTCTCCGATTCTTTGGCGCCATGCTTTTACCGAAGCTCGAAGACCTCTTTGGGCTTTCGAGGCGGGAAAAAGTGGACACTGGTAGAAAACTTCTAGATCAAGTTCTCTCTGAGAATCAACGACTTTTCATTACTGAAGATATCGACCAACTAAAGAGTGCTTTCAAAAATGAATCTCAACTAGTGGCTGACACGGAAGCGTTTGAAACCAGCGGATCTAGTCTTCATCACATGTAAGTTTACAAGAGCAAGTTTCAAGTTTTATTTAACATTTTCTTTTCTAGTTTGGCAGTTGTTTTTGCTGTACTTGTGGGCAATGGCTACTTATTCTATGATTACGATTACCTATTTTCATTCATTCTTCTTCTTGGAATTGTTACCTTCGGATTACTTGCGTTCTTTTTCTATAAAAAGTAAGCTTTTTAAAAGTAATGTGGAAAAACTATAAAGTTTACTTTTATCAAAATAGACATTTGAAGAAGCAATTTTGCAACACTTTTGCAGTGATCACCAAAGAATTGAAAAAGGAAAAAGAGCTCTACAAAGAACTTCTCCACCTGATTGAGGATAGCTGTAGCTTTTCAGAAAAGGAGCGTCCTGAAAATCGCATTGGTTCACTAAAACTAACTTTTCGAGATAATGCTCTGCAGAGTTTCTTTCAACTTCGCAAATGCACTAAATTACTTATGGATCGCTTTCCACTTAAAGCCGATATCGACAATAACTTAATCTGTCAGTTACCGGACGAAAGCTTTGAATCTTACAACAATGACGATGAGCTCAACTTGAAAGCCTTAAAGGTACAGTTTGCATTTTTCTGTAGTCACACACGGTAATGAATATAACGTTTGTTATCTGTTTCAGTCACTCAAGCAACTAGTTCGCCTTCAGATATCAGAACTATTGAAGCGATTCCTGTTTTTATTTGCACAGAATTACTTTAAAGCAGATGATGATTCTGTTGACTTGGCTTATCTGCAAACTGTCATTTTTAAGCAATTACTTGACAACTCTCATGCTCATCAAAAAGCGTTGCTGTCTGTTTTGTACTACCAGAAATCTTTTTACCAACAAGAAGCTGAACGAATTCCACATGAATCAAGCTCCTCTGATTTTTGGCCCGCCTGTCGAAACATTCGAAAAAGTCTCTACTCATCTCTTTCAATGTAACTGAATTGATTTAAACGAAACTTTATAACTGATCTATTTTATTCTACTACACAGACTCGACGAACTGGAAACTAAACTTAAATTGAAAAACCAAGAACTTTCTGCTGAAGATGTTGCAACTGTTGAGAGTAACTTTGATCTATTGAGCAGCGAGATTTCAGCTATTCAAAACTCATCACAGAATATTATTAAATCACTTAAATCAAGTAAGTTTTTTTAGTTATTCCTAGGAAGTGAACTTGAACTAAACCCATATTTATAGAAAGTGCCAAAAGTTTAGAAGAAAACGAAAGTTTACATACTGCTGAAGCGACTGCTAGTAACAATGTGATGGTCAGTACTTCAAATGTCGCTCCGGTAGAAGAATATGTTGCGAAGGATGAAGTTTTCGAAGCGTATATACCTCAAAAGATTGAAGAAAATTCAAACAGTGCTGAGAATTATAATGAGCAGGTCAGTATAACATTGAAATAAACTGTTGGTATTAAAAAGTTTATATTATAGGAAACAACACCTAAAGACATAATCTCCTCCAGCAATGTCTTTCATGAGCTGAAACACGCTTTGAAAGACAAGGCAATTGAACATCAGTGTCGAGAAGCTAAAGCGCTTGGAATCCAAGTGGATGTTGGGCAGCTGGAAAAAGAGTACATTACGACTGTCATTGAAAAGGTTGACAACCAGGAAAGGAAGCGCGTTTTTGCTTCTCCGGCCAGAACGGAAGTGAATACCACTATCTCAAGTGGCATCTCTTCAGGCTGCAATATTGCCTTAAATCTGGACATTGCCTTGATGGCACGAGAGAAAATGCGCCTGATGATTAGCACACAGCCAAACGAAGACACCTTTGAATGTGATACCCCCGCCCAGTCAGACGATTCTAATCATGATTGAACTCACTTTTTTCACCAAAAAGCCATGTGATTTATTTTTCTTAAGCTACTTTTAGCTACTTACTTTTAATTAAATTGTTTACATACAAAAGAAATGAATGATTACTGTTTCATGATGAGGTGCTGAGGTGTTGAGGTTGTACAGGTGAAACTGGGCATTTACTTTTATATTATATAATTTGTTGCTGTTGCAGAGAAATGCTGTGTGTGTTGCCTGCCTCTCGGTAGGTTCGAGGTCGCCGTCACAGGTCGCAATGGGTCGTCATCGGCGAATGACAGTTAGGACGAGTTTCAGTCCATGGACACAACCTGTTGGCCTAGAGAAGGCCACCCCGGCGAGCAACATCGGTCTCTAAATTTACACTTCATCTTCGCAATTTGTTCCGTTTCTCTTTCTCTCTAGCTCATCGTCGGCTTTCTATCTTTCTCTTTCCCTCTCTATCTCTCTCTCTCTCTTTCTCTTCTCACCATTAAACCTGATCTGAGACTACACGGCACCATTGTCTACCTTTGACCATCCCGTCTCGGCGATGGTGGTGGTGGTGGTGGTGACTGCTCTAGCAAACAAGTCTCGTTGCTTTTTCTCTTTTTGGCCGATTACCATAATCGGCTGCAATTGTCCTGCTCTTCTCGTTTCCACTTGCGTAATGGCCGCTGGCGAAAGAAACTGACAGAGCACTGACAGTGTTGCGAGTGGCGTAATTCCCAGACAACTGTCGCCCTTTTTACTCTCTTTTACTTTCGTTGGTCAGCCTGCTGGTTTATTTGCGGGCTCTGCCTGGTGGGAGAGTCTTTAATGATGGTCAAGTACGTTTGAAGTTTGGTGAGCATGATAGGTAACAACTGGTTTCGCAAGGCAGTCATTTTTTCAGCCACGTTTTACTAATACGACTAATCAAAGTTGAGTACTTCTCGATAGATTTTGTACAGTTCATGATTATGCCCGTGAGTAACTGAAATGTGTTTTCCCGCATTGCCAATGAGGTCTATGCCTTCGTTGTCCAAGTCACCTCCGTACATCAAAAGGTAGAGTTTAGCCAGTCGAACCAGCTGCAGAGTTTTGTCCGGGTGATATTCTCCGTACAGCGTGGTCAGCAGTGGAATCGTCTCCTTTCCAAGGTCATAAGCAGCGCGCCATTGTGAGCGAATGTCAATAAAATCATCCATGTCAGAATTTAGTTTTTTCAAGTGTTGACTGTCAAAGTCTGAGTAAAATGGCAGTATTAGAAAATAGCAATAAAAAAATAAGATTCAGAATTAAATCTCACCTTTGTCAAAGTCACTTTTACATCTTGGACAAGTGCACTCAAAATAATACTGTTCCTTAAGACTTTTTTGTCGGGTTACTTTGTCGTTTTTCACATCTACATAATTAATGTAAATCTTGTCGCCGACATCTATTTCTTTGATTGCTCTAATTTCTAGATATGTTCCGCTAAAAATTGTTGTAGCGTTAGGAACGCAGGAATGATCGAAGTACGAGTTGGCAATGTAAAGAGAGCTTCCAATTTCGTTTAACGATACGTCGAGAATTGAAAATGAGTTGATGCAAATCTTGCAAAAGTACTCAAACAAAACATTTTTGTCAAATGCAATGTTGCAGCTGCTGTAGCGCTGGCAAACGAAATCAAAGTGGCGCATCCGAGAAAAGTCCTTCGAAATGTCTTCTTTGTGCGTGATTAAATCTTCAAAACATCTCTCGATTGATTCATCATGTTGAAGTTTGTCTTTTTTAGACAACAAGTTACTTTTGTTGGTCAAGACGAGGTAGAGGCGAAGGAGAAATCGGTCCAGATTGCGGTGAAAGTAACTGTAGTATGGTTTGTACACATTTTCGCACTCGTACTTATGAGCCGACTTCCAATCTAAAGGTTAAAATGGTTAATGCATGAACAATTTGAGCAGTCAAATGGTACCTTTCTTTTGACACAAGGCCGAGCAGTAGTACATTTGCTTGCAATTTGAACATTTTTTCAGGTTTTCACTGTTGAAAAAGCAAGTGTTAGTTTTAGTTGTAACAGATTCAGTTGTGACAACCTTTTGAGAAGACAGTTGTCGCAAAATTGAGACTTTTTATCGTCATTTAAAATGTGAACCAGTGGACATTCGGCGCTAATAATGTTACCAGGAGAGTATTTGGTCATCTTGGAGAAAAACTGGATTGTTGATAACTTGAATTTGCACGTTTTTTCAACAAAAAAGTTTTCCAACTGAAAAACGTGCGCAGCGCCATCCTCGGAATAGTTCACCATTTGGCGTGATCACGGCGGTCATTTTTTGTTCAAACTCCATTCATTTTGG